TGTGAAAGTGAATAGTCCTGGGAAAGGTGATAAAGTTGTTGGGCAATATTAAGGCTCACTTGAAATCAGAGGTTACTGTATTAAAATAGATTCAGACAACATGATCATGTGAATTTTATAGCTACTTTTAACTGCATGGTATTAGACATGTAATAAGTGGAAAGCTGGATTTAATGGGTTGAAGTTTCAACAAAATGAGTATTTAAAAGTTAGAGAGAGGTAACAAGATGAGAAAATAAACAAGAAATTCATTTTTAAATGTTGACTTTAGAATTTAAACTGAGCTAAGAGGGAAAAGAGAGGAAATTGAGAAAGTAAAATGATAATGAAAAGGAAAGATAAAAAAATTGGATTATAGGCTTGTTGTGATGATAGCACATTAAAAAGCAGAGATGTTACTTTGCCAACAAAGGTCCGTCTAGTCAAGGATATGATTTTTCCAGTGGTCATGTGTGGATGTGAGTGTTGGACTATAAAGAAAGCTGAGTGCCAAAGAATTGATGGTTTTGAACTGTGGTGTTGGAGAAGACTCTTGAGAGTCCCTTGGACTGCAAGGAGATCCAACCAGTCCATCCTAAAGGAGATCAGTCCTGAACATTCATTGGAAGGACTGATGTTGATGTTGAAACTCCAATACTTTGGCCACCTGATGAGAAGAGCTGACTCATTTGAAAAGACCCTGATGCTGGGAAAGATTCAGGGCAGGAGGAGAAGGGGATGACAGAGGATGAGATAATTGGATGGCATCACCGATTCAATGGACATGGGTTTGGGTGGGCTCCGGGAGTTGGGTGGACTCCCTGATGGACAGGGAGGTCTGACATGCTGCGATTCATGGGGTTGCAAAGAGTCAGACACGACTGAGCAACTGAACTGGACTGTGGTGAAATGATTACTAAAATGAAGAAATTAAAGGTAATATGTATGTGGAATATAGCACAGATTTCAAGAGAATAAAGGGCCTGCAATATTCCTGGAATCCAGGATGAGAAATTTACCCTTCTCTGTGTTTCTGAATTTGCATGGCTTCTCATCTCTGTTTCTCTTTGCACACCTGCTTCATTCTTTGTTTCTGAAGGGTTACTTTCTCTCCCTTTGTGAATCTGTGGTTATACCTAATCCACAATTACATGGAACTCCAGTTAAAAAGTCCTAAAGTGTCCATGAGAAAGAGGAAGTTAACTTGACTTGGATCTAACTTTCCCTTACAAACTGCCAATATCAAAGGTATAATATCCCCTACGCCACCACCGCTCAGCAGGTGTAGTGGGAACTGACTTCTGAGAAGAGAGTGCAAGCAGACTTTTTAATAAGAGTGTGTAAAGGTTGGGAGGAGATTATTATTAGAGGACTAGTTGGCATTATGTGAAAGTAGAGGGGATGTCAACTCACCGTGGATAGTTTCAAACTAGAGTGATGAAAGGGAGGTAGGTATGGGTTAGCTGTCATTTGAGTCTGTAAGGTAGTGGTTATTTGCTATACCTTGGCTGAAAATGAGTTGATAATGTATGTCCACTTGACTTTTCAGCCACCCAAGGCACCCTTGTCTCAGTCTTTGCTCTCCAATATCTCACCCAACTTTTGAGATTTGCTATATGTTCCATCTGTAAGTTTCATTTCCCCAACTCATCTTGTTCATATGATTTTCTTGAGCCCTGTATAATATCTAATAACTGCACCACTTCTTTAAATATCAATCATTGACAATTTTGCATTGTTTTTTTAGCCTTCTTTATTTCCCGTGTACTCTTCTTACCCCTAAGTAGATAATGATTTCTTTAAGAAAAGGAGAATTATTTGTGTTTTCATCCTCCTCAATTCAGTGAAGAGTAGTAGCTATTAGCCATCTTCTATATGCTCACACTCAGCTACACATTTATATTCAGTTTTAAACCAATGAGTAGCCATTTATTTAAAACAGAACTACAGATATGTCACTATAACCACAGTGGAATATATTAATGTGAAGAAGAAGCATATAATGTCCTCCCAGACCTTTCATCTGATAGAAGTTCTCATTTAATTTAAGATGAATAAAGACTACATAAAATAAAACCATTGTGAGCAGACAAAGTCCTGGATCTGGCATTGGACATATGATTAGAGAAGAAAGGCACTTCAAAACCGGATACTATTGATAGGCGAACTCTTGGCAGAAACATATCCAGGCACTATTTTCTGCAGGCTCTTGAATGCAATGCAAAAGATTTGGGACTTTCCTCCCTAAATCTGTGGGAGCCACCAGTGAATTCTGAGCTATGAATTGTGATCAGAAACATGCATAGGATGACCTCAAAATAATTGATAATTATGTAGCAGCATTAAGATTAAAAGTATAAATATGTAAGTCACTGGATGAATGACAAAGCCTTGTTGTCTTCACTTCCTCTGTGATAAATTCTGAGAAAATCAAGCTCACTGATAAACAAAGTGGGGAATATAGGTGCTATTTTGCTTTTTATCTCCATCCTAGCAAGACTTTTATGTATTTCTTATGTAGCATTGGCATCAATTCACTGAGAAGATACAGTGAAGACATGCCGCTGCTCAGCTCTTGATTGTGGATGTAAGATATAGTGTGGACGATCCGATGGAAGACGCAAAATGCATCTGCCCCACTGTCTCCTGTGGCCCCATCCCATCAGCCCTGCGCAGGTGAGCGTTCAGGAGGAGCCAAGCTCCCTGCTACAGAATTCAAGCGCTCTCTGACTACTATTCCCTTACTAGTGGTGCAGTGGAGGACGGCATGACTGCCCACTCCAACATTCTTGCCTGGAGAGTCCCTATGGCCAGAGGAGCCTGGCAGACTACAGTCCATGGGGTTGCAAAGAGTCGGACAGGACTGAGCGACTAAGCACAACACTAGTGGCGCATGCTGTGCTAAGTTGCTTTGGTTGTATCTGACTCTTTGTGATGCTATGGACTTTAGCCCATCAGGTTCCTCTGGCCGTGGGGATTCTCCAGGCAAGAATACTGGAGAGGGTAGCCATGCCCTCCTCCAGGGTATCTTCCCAACCCAGAGACTGAACCTATGTCTCTTACGTTTCCTGCATTGGTAGGCAGATTCTCCACCACTAGAGCCACCAATAGGATGAATTTCTTTCCTAGCTGCCATAGGAAAATGTGAAAATTTATGTTTGTGAGGGGCTGGAGAGAAATCTGCTTTTAATATCCCAGGAAATCAAGGGGTTAATTTCACAGCTCATGCCCTTTGTGAGGCATGCAGGGGACCTGTGTGATGTCTGCCAGTCAGCGAACTGAACTGTGTACTGAGCAGTAGACCTGGTTTCTCATTCTTGAAGAGTTATATGCTGAGAATCTCCCTGTGTTGTGCCACCTCCAACTACAACTTAGTAGGAAACTTTTAAGGTGTAAAGACCAAGTATCTCAGTGTATTGAAAACCTAAATTTGCTGTTTGTAGGAGCCATTGATGAGGCCATTGTGATTTAACAGCAGGCTGGACTCTCAGTTGAATGGATGAGTGAATGATGAATAAGATCTCTAATTCTTTATATTCATTTAAGGCCATTTTTAATCTATGATTCAGCTATCTATGTGTGCATGCTTGCTCAGTCGCTCAGTCGTGTCCTACCCCTTTGTGACTCCATGGACTGTAGTCCACCAGGCTCCTTGGTTCATGGAATTATCTGGGCAAGAATACTGGAGTGGGTTACCACTTCCTGCTCCATGGGATCTTCCTGACCCAAGGATCAAACCTGAGTCTCCTGAATTGGCAGGCAGATTCTTGACCACTGAGCCACCTGAGAATTCCCTCCGGTATTTATATTGCTAAACAAAAGCCTATGATCCAATCATCTTTCCTTATTCTTGATTTATCATACAATAAGATATATGAGAAAGGAGATCTTGATGAAAGACCGTCTTGGGCTTGAATTCTGGTATCAGGTTTTATTAACTGAGAGGTTGATCAAGTAATTCCTGTGTTGTAACATTAACCTCCCCATCTGGATAAAGTCTTCTGGATTCAAATCCCAGTTCTATCACTGTCTAGCTTATAATACTGAGAGTTCTCTGAGCTTTCTGTGTCTCAGCTGCCTTGTCACTATAGTGATGGAATACACTGAAGTCATAATTTACTGTAATGTCTGTGATAGATAGATAGGTAATAGAAAGATAGATCTGCTGTTGCTGTTTATTTGCAAAGTTGTGTCTGATTCTTCAACTGCCACCTGGCACCTCTGTCCATGGCTTTCCCAGACACGAATACTGGAGTGGGTTGCTATTCCTTCTCCAGGGCATCTCCTCGACCCAAGGATTGAACTTGAATCTCCTGCATTGCAAGCTGATTCTTCACCACTGAGCCACCTGGGAAGCCCCAGATAGATAGATAGATAGAGAGATAGATAGATAGACAGGTATACAAATAGATAGACAGAAAAGAATAAACATTTGGCTGATTTGGATCTGGATCAGGATGAAGCACATTTTCTCACCTTCCTCTCTAGCATCAGCAGGAGGTCAGGCCATGGATTCAGGCTAATGAGGTCCTCTAGGTCTGACTCAGGGTGAGTGTTAACTGAGATGCATCTCAGATAAAAGGTGTGAACGTGAGAGAGTGGCATGGAGAAAAACTAAAAATAAAGTGAGACAGAAACTTTATACAAGATCAAGAGAAATAGTATCTTATACCCAGTAAAATTGGATATCAAGAAACTGTTTCTTGGCTTTAGAGAAAACTCTTGAGAATTCCTTGGACTGCAAGGAGATCCAACCAGTCCATCCTAAAGGAAATCAGTCCTGAATATTCATTGGAAGAACTGACGCTGAAGCTGAAACTCCAATACTTTGGCCACCTGATGTGAAGAGCTTTTCCAATGAGTCATTGGAAAAGACCCTGATACTGGGAAAGATAGAAGGCAAAAGGAGAAGAGGATGATAGAGAATGAGATGCTTGGATGGCATCACTGACTCAATGGACATGAGTTTGAGTAAGCTCTGGGAGATGGTGAAGGACAGGGAGGCCTGGTGTGCTTCCATCCATGGGGTCACAAAGAGTCAGACACGACTGAGCGACTGAACAGCAACAATCCAATAAAATTACTGGAGCACAGGAAGGTTTTGGATGAGAGAGAGAGGCAAGCACCATGAGGAATTCCTTGGTTAACTGCTGTTATCTGCTGCTTGGACTTCTAGGCTTTGGAATGGGGTGGACACCATTGACCAAACAGTTGGTGAGTGCCTGTCCAATAGTCTGCTCAGGTGTTGAGAAAGGGGGTGGGCCTCCTGATTAACTTACTTTTTTTCAAAGACACAGGTGCAGGTAGGGAGTTTCTGTTTCGTCCTTGAGAAGGAAGCTGTGTTGGAAGACACCTCTAAGTCTCTCTACCCTCATTGACTTCCTCCTCTCTACCAAGGAAGAATATTTTCTGGTTAATGAAATTGGATCAGAGGTAAAGTGTATCCTGGCTTTTTGAATCTTACTGTTTTTATCTGGGTCCTCTTTGTATTCAAGTCAGTGGATTTCATTTTCACTGTTGCTGCTCACTATAAATAGCCATCCACACCCCCTGTCTGCCTTGCCCCAGACACAGACGGCAGTGGGGAAGCTGCCCTTGGCCACAGCTGCTCTGCCTTGGAGCCATGCCGCAAAGGAGGAAGGGGTCCTTGGTCTCCTTCAGCCCGTGCTCCTTTGTTAGGAGACCTCCTCTTTAGGTTATGAGGCTGCACCCTGTTTAGTGCTGGTCTCTATTTATCCACATTTCCTATCCTTTTGCACCTTTTATTGGAGTTTAAACTGCTTAGTAATCACACCATTCCACCACTTTCATCACCGCTGACTTATTTAATCAGTTGAAATGAGTTCAGAGATGGGGTGGAAAATGCGATGGTGATCTTCCTAATGCGATGGTGATCTTCCTAATGCTGTTCCCTTCTAGGCATGGATAAATCATTCTTTCCCCCTTTTAAAAAAGAAAGAAAGAAAGAAAGAAAGGGTTAGGATAAGGGTCATTCCCTAACAAGAACCAGTTTAAAATGATTGTGTTTGGATGTGACATATAGACATAAACTTAAGTTCCCATCTAACCCTATAATTCTAAAATATTGATACTACAAATAAAATCCAAATTATCCACTGAATGCAATAAACCTAATATAATTTGTGTAGACCAGAGACAGGGCAGGAATTAATTTTAAAATGTTCAAAAGCTGCCTATTTATCTTTTTATGTACTAATCAATAGAGACATTTCATGCAATCCTATTCTCTAAAAATGAAGTATGTTCATAGAGAGATGCCAGAGAGCAAATTGATCAAAGACTAACAACAAAAAGAATTGATAAATATAAATGTACCTTGTTAGGGTGTCTGGGTGGGTGTCATGAGAGTTGTAGTAGATCCAATTTAATTAGCAGTTTAATTCTCTCTTAGAATGGTGTAAATAGTAAAGGAAATTTGCAAATTAGACCAATTGGAAAGATATAGCACCTACTAAGAAAAATAGATACATTGATTAGAAAAAGAAGTAGGAAAATGACAGCTGAACAAATAAAAGAGAGCATAGCCTTGCCCGCTTCTTAACTTTTAGCCTGTATCACAGTGAAAAAATAAATTTTTGTTGTTTTGAGCCAATGGTTTGTGATACTTTGTTGTGGCAACCTAGTTAAAACAGTGAAACACGGCTTTAGAGTCAGAGGACCTAAACTTGACTCAATCAATTTGTCACTAGTTAGCTTTGAGTCACTGAGCTAATATTTTTTGGGTGCCTTTTTCAATCTATGAAATGGGCGTAAGAAAAGCCACATGTTGTGATATTTTAGATGAATAATTTTGGTTTAGTATTTATAATTTTTTTTTTAAATGTTTTCATTTGTCATTATTGTTGTAGTTGCTGCTGTTAAGTGAAACTATACTGGTGGAACTTCTACCCAAGGGACAATCCTAAAAGAAAGATGGTATCCTATTGGGAAAAATATCATAGGTAACACATTAGCCTGCCTACTTCTATGAGCTTTTGGCTGAATTTGGATTCTCCTCTTACTCTTCTGACTATAAAATATAATTAGACTATTCTATAGAGATGCACATTACTCTCAGTAAACCTCCCTCTCGCCGTGGATCCCACCCTCTGTTTGGGCTGTTACCACCTCCCCACTGTGCTGGAATCAGAGATGCCGTCTCTCTCCTCCGTCACTGGGAATTCATTCCACAACATCAATTGAAGCCACAGCATAGCGCTGACCTTCCCAGGCTGGAACAGAGCCAACATCATTAACAGGCCAGTCTCTGCAGCTAAGGGCTGCTGGCTTTCTCCTGTCAAGTTTCCAGTTCTTAAGAAGAGAGCTAGGGAAGATGAGGCAGAGCAGGCTTTTAGAAAGTGCCGAGCAGATGGGTCCTCTGACTGTCTGCAGCCTAGGTAGGATCAATAGCAACTTGTCACACACAGACGCGTGCAATCCACTCAGCGTAATAAGCATTGACTGATACAATTTTATTTGTACCTCTGCAAAATGTTTCTGGTCAGAGGTCAGTGTCTGTGGGCAAACTCTTGCCTCTGGTATTTATTTCTAGGAGAGGTCCCTGGACAGCTCACTGGAGTGGGATTTTTGAACCCTGAAAATACACAGACTGTCATTTCTTCCCACCACTGCCTATCTCACACGTACATACACACAAAAACACTGAAACATATTTATCAGAAAACTTTTACACTTAAAAAGAACAGGTTGAGAGCATCAAGTCAAGAGTCAGCCAGATCTGGGCATCCGACGCACTGGCTGGATGACTTCTCAAAACCCCAATTCTCTAATCGACATATAAAGGAAGCATTTTTATAGCCTATCTTATTTCTGATTGTATGGTTTTGGCTGTGCTGGGTCTTCATTGCCGCCTGGGCTTTCTCTAGTTGTGGCGAGTGGGGGGCACTCTCTAGTTAGGATGCGCCAAGTCTCATTGCGGTAGCTTCTCCTGATGCCAAGCATGGGTTGTAGGGTGCATGGGTTTCAGTACCGTGGTGAGCTAGCTTAGATGCACCTTACGATGTGGACTCTTTCTGGATCAGGGATTGAATCCATGTCCCCTGCCCGAGCAGGCAGATTCTCAACCACTGGACCACCAGGGAAGTCCTGTATATAAAGGAAATTAACAGTGTGAAACACATAGGCTTGTGTTGATTTTGTTGCAAGTTTAGCTCCTCCTTTAGATTGACTTGTTAAGAAGATATTCTATATTTTATTTCTACATCTTCAGCCTCTAGCATAGTACTTGGTATTCCTGAAACATTTCACACTTGCTGAGTAAAGGCTGCTATTGCTGCTAAGTCGCTTCAGTCGTGTCCGACTCTGTGCGACCCCATAGACGGCAGCCCACCAGGCTCCCCCATCCCTGGGATTCTCCAGGCAAGAACACTGGAGTGGGTTGCCATTTCCTTCTCCAATGTGTGAAAGTGAAAAGTGAAAGTTTTGAAGTCGCTCAGTCGTGTCCGACTCCTAGCGACCCCGTGGACTGCAGCCTACCAGGCTCCTCCGTCCATGGGATTTTCCAGGCAAGAGTACTGGAGTGGCATTCTCCCAAGTAAAGGCTAGATGATGCTTAAGTCAGGTTTGCTTCTTGAACAGTGTGTGTTTTTTATCGAGTCACTGCTTCTCTCTGACTCTGTTTCCTGAATGTGAGAACTATAATAGATAATATAGAAAATAATTTCTTAGGTCTTTGTCACTATTAATATTCACGGTATCACTGTTTGTTCATTGTAGGGGGAAAGGAAATGCTGTCTCCATACAAGAGTTTCCTCATCTGGATTTAAGTTCATAGCCATTGGACTTTTCCCCCAGAGCCTGCTCATGTGTGTGTGTGTGTGTGTGTGCGTGTGTGTTTAGTCATGTCAGATTCTTTACGGTGCCATGGACTATAGCCTGCCAAGTTCCTCTATTCTTGGTATTTTGCAAGTGAGAATACTGGAGTGCGTGGCCATTTCCTACTCCAGGGGATCTCTCCAACCCAGGAACTGAACCTATGTCTCTTGCATCTCCTGCATTGACAGATAGATTCTTTACCACTGCACCACCATTCATGGTGAGTTTTCATAGTGGGGGAAAAGGAGACACTGTTTCCACGTGAGAGTCTCCTTGTTTGGGTTTAATTTCTAGCCATTGGACTTTTTCCCCATGCTCGCTCATTTATATCCAATGGCAAATACTCAACTGAATAAAACGGAATCTAGCAGAATATGCAGTATTTAGACAAACCTCAGATCTTTATTTGAATGTCTTGCTGCAGTCTAAGAGAGTTAAGGATGAGGAAAGAAACATCACTCACCACTTTGTCATGAAATACATAGGTGCTATCTTTTGATAGTTTTCACCTTGTTTTGTGTGGAATAATCACATTTCCTTGCCTTTGGGGGAGAAATAGGAATGAGCCAAAATGATACTGCTTTAGGCAAAACATATGCTTTCTATTTATCTTGCTTTTCAGTGATGCCTATGTTGTCTCCATCGATAGTTTGTTTTAAGCTATTCCTGGTTATGTTCATTTCTTCTTTTAATTAAATATATCATCAGCAGAGCACTTTAGACTACTTCCTTCCTCCCATCCTAGGCTAGAGGAATTAGGAAATAGCAGTTCTGGTATTTTCTTCTTTTCACACATTGGAAATTGGTCAAATCTAACTTCATGTATGAAAAGCAAAAAAGAGTAAAAGTGTGTATTTTTCTGACTGGCTAACAGAGATGCAATTTTGCACTTTGAGGATTCAGAGAGAAGGCTCTGTGGTGTCATGAGGTGTCAAAAATATGGGAAGTACAGGTGGCAGCTGGCTGTTGGAGAGGCAGCAACTGCAAATTCACTAATTAGAGACGTGCAAATTTCAAAGGCATATTCTGTTAAACCCTGGAGCCATGATGAAGCAGTCAACACAAGAAGGGTACTAGGAGCACAGACTTTGGGGGATCTTGGAGCCAAGATGTAATTGGTTACACTTATTGGTTCACATTAAAGCAACAGCTCCTGATTTTAGAAGTAGAGAAGTGGTACACAGGGAAAATTCAGTTGTGAGGACCTTTAACCTGATAGACCTTTAACCTGGGTGACCTTCTTGTAAACCGTTTGATATCACAGAGTCCTATGCATTCCTATACCCTGTCCTGTCTTTGATTCAGTCCTGGATAGTGCAAGGTGCAGAATTTTCTGGTGATACGAAATGAAAGGATTTCATTTCTGAACAAGTCACTAACTATGAGGAAAAAGATACTAAACAATTGTTAAAAAACATGAACAAATTTAAATAAAAGCTTGATTGTTTTTGTGCATGCTTTGGTTTTGCCTGATGACCAGTAGATTTTTTTCCTGCACAGAATGAATTGACTTTTAATTAAATCAAAGTAATTGGCTGATCATTTTGAACATCAAGCTGCCTAAATGTCTGTCTTCCAGTGCTGAAGTCCTAGCATAA